CCCCAAAACCCCAAAACCCCAAAACCCCAAAACCCCTTTTAATTTTTAGAAAATTGAGAATTCTTAAAATAATTTATTCTTACTCAAGTTCCTTTTCTTGGAAAACCCTCTCTTTGAGAAAAATTTACGAGCGGATTTACTTGCTTTTGGAATAGGCTCGACAATCTTAGATTTGATCAATGTCATAGAGTTCCGCATCAAAGTTGGAGATCTTTGATCATGAGATAAATACTTTGAAGTCTCCAACGGCAAAGGTCTATTTTTATTTAATTGCATTTTTTATTCGATTCCTCTCTTTATCTTGAAGGTTTACTAGTCCAAGTTTCTGCGAACTCTTCGAAAGGTTTAACTTGCTCCCTATTGAGAACATTTTATTTGAGCTTATAGAATTCAGGTTTTCTGGCTCCTTCTTCACTTTCCCAATGTAAATGTTGTTTTCAAAGTACCCCTCTTTGGAAGTACCATCAGGATAAATTAGTTTTCCGTAACCATGCTGAATACCTCTAAACCAGTCACCTTCATAACAAGTTTGATCATTCCATGTCATTTTCCCTTGCCCGTCTCTTTCATCAGATTTAAAATATCCTTCGTAGACATTTCCTGTGGCCCATTGGAAAACACCGTAGCCTTCTTTCTTGTCGTCAGCATATTCTCCTTCATAAACAGAGACTTGGTCACCTTCTTCTTTTGTCCATTTACCCTTTCCGTGCTTGAGGCCATCTTTGAAATCACCAATGTAGGTACTGCCATTTGCCCAGACATATTTTCCTTTACCACAAGGTTTGCCTTTGAAGTAGGCACCTGTGAATATATCTCCGTTTGAGAAAAAATCAGTTCCTTGGCCAAATTTAAGTCATTCCTTCCATTCACCTACAGAAAAGGTTTCAGAATTTTCTATTATAGAATCATAGGCAAATACAAGGTTTTATTAATAACCTTACCTTCGTACTTATCGCCTGAAGACCAAGTGTGAACTCCGTAACCGTGAGCTTTGGAATTTTTCCATTCACCGATATAGGAATCACCGTTCTTGCCTTTCCAGATACCATAGCCTTGCTTACATCCGTTCTCCCATTCACCGTCATAGATTTCTCCGGTGGACCATTTATATATGCCTTTGCCATGAGCTTTTCCTATAGGAAATTAAGAATTAGTTAGGGAATTAATGGTACTAACTGAAATCATCTACAACCCCTGCTGGGGTTGTAGAAGGCTCAGAGCTTACCTTTGAGGAACCCTCCTATGTAATAATTATTATTCTTATAGACCTCAAAGCCTTCACCATCTCTGAGGTCATCTTTCCAATAGCCCTCATAGAGCCGGTTCTTATACCTCATGACACCTTTACCATGACGCTTGTCGTTGGCTATAGTGCCCATATATACAGCGTCTTTAAGTTTTCTGACTTGGAAATTAGGGTCTTGCTTTAGTTCATCAAAAGAGAAGAGATCACTCTTCATTTTGTAGTCAACATCCTCTGACATTGGGAAGATATTCAATAATTATTAATAAAAAGGGGTTTTGGGGTTTTGGGGTTTTGGGGTTTTGGGG